AGGAAAAAAAATTATTGCTTTGCTCCAATGAGTTAACAAGGTAATTTGTTAACCATGGGTGAATTATTATGTAATTTGTTGCTTTGCTAAAATAGACGACTGGCATATAAAATTGTCTCTTTTAAACGATTGTAAGATTATTTAAAAGTAACTTTTTAATTGTGATTTATGAAATAAAAAATAAGTATGTGAAAAAAATTCTCCCTTAACTTCCATGAATATATATATATTTATATATAAGTACTCAATAAAAGCGTATAATGATATTCACCTCTCAGTCATTCACACTTCACACTGTTACCATAAGGAAGGAGGGTTTTGTTATGGTGAAGAGCCAATCAACAAAAAAAGAAAAAAGAAAAAGAAAATAAAGCAACCATCAAAAATCAAGCAATCACAAAAAATTTTCTCCTGACAAGCAAATATTTCCACAATCCACATATTACAATATCATCAGCTCAAACCATACATGTATTATGACTTCAACCAAGCCAACCACAACCAGCAACATTTTTCCAACCGAACAATCAGTTCAAGGTCCACTTATCTTAGTACTCCTCCGGTCTTAAATATAAAAATCTTAAAAGGACCTTATATTTAGAACTGGGGAAGTACAACGTAACACAAAAATAGGAGTATGCAATTGACATAATTATTGTGAATATAAATTGATGCATTGGCATCAACAAAATACTTCCCAGTAGCCAAAAGTGCAAGATCCGCAAAGAACAGGATCATGCCTTAGTAGTTGCCTCCCCGAAAGAGCGGCCAGAAAACTCAAATAATGGGTTGTTTGGAAAAGAAAAAATCTATATAAAAAAAATACCTTTAAAATTTTAAAATCCCATTTAAGAATGACTACAAAAATACGTTGTCATTTTTTTTTTCAAATATTGTTAATTGTTATTAAAGTGATATAAACAAAACTGATTGAAATTTTAAAATTTAAAAGTATTTTTAAAGGATTTTTCCTTGGAAAATATCAAAAGCACTTAACAAAAGTACCTTCATGTAAATCACAACAAATTTATTCTTATATATTTACTTTGAACTTTATAAAATCACTTTTAAAAAGTCAATCTAAGCACCCTCTAAAATTATAAGCAGGTGAGATATAACATCCCTGCAGTAACAAAGACAACACTAATTCTACACATATCAACCATTAAAACTAAGTTCTTAAAATAATGGATATTATAGGTACATGAGATGATATTATGTGATCAGCATAATGACTTAGCCTGCCCTACTCCCTTTCAAGTCCCAAACTATGCGTTGAAAGAATAAACGAATCAACACAGTAAATCTCAGCAACATCCAGCAATTCCCAATTCAATTCCATGTTCATCAATAAATAGATTGTCATATGCTATTTCAACAACAATGCTAAATCATAATGTACATGCATTATGCAAAGAAAAAGTATAAACCCTGGTTACCTAAAGCCTTTAAAGGGAAAAGGGAAGCGAGGCAAATCCAAGAAAGTGAAGTGTTAGAAAGCCACATTGGATCAACGGTGACCCAAGGTCCAAAATCTATAATTCAACCTGTACAATCTATTGGGTCTGACCCAAAACTATAAGCAAGTTTGATGATGCCTTTGTCATTAAAGTACTCAATTAAACTAAGTCTTAATTAATTGTAGTTTAGGATCGACCTAGGTCATTATTTCCAAGAAGTAAGTTATGGGTTTCTTTAGGTAAAAATTTAGATGATAAAGAAAATACAATAAATTGGACCTAAACTAAAATGTAAAATTCTAATTCTAATTGCAAGATGCAAATGTCCTAAAATCTATATGAAAATTAAATTAAACTAAATGAATGCAATGCAATTTTTTGGGGGGGATTTTTTTGAAGGAAAATAAAAAATGATGAATAAAGAAAATTAACTAGAAAGCAAAGAAAATTGACAAGTAAAAATTGAGAAGTTTCTCTTCGGGTACGGTAGAGGGGACAACTTAGGATTCACATGGATTTAACCTTCATAACCTTAATAAGTTAATTAGACCAATGGAAAGTGATAAGAGAGTGGAATTAATAAGTCTAATTGCCTATTTGAAACAAATGGAACCCTCAATTTCAAAAACCCTTAAACCATTAGAGAACTCATAATGATATAAGGTTGGTTAATTAAACTCATAAAAACCAATGACAAATAATTCAAATTAATTTTGGAAATTATGTTTAGGGTTATCCAATTAAACAATTAGATAATTTACCAACTCAATTAAACAATCAAGAGGCAAAAGAACCCAAATTTGCAATTCAAACCATATTGATAATTAAACTCATAATGAAAGCTCAATTATAAATTCAATTAACAATGCAAAGGTTCATAAACATAAACTTCAGCAAGTGTCTCAATACAAATAAAATCCAAATATCAATCCAATCCAAGCATAAAAATGAAAATCTAAAACTAAATTGTCTCACAAAAATACAACTCAAAATTATTTAAAACTAAATAATTTCAAGTCCTTGAATTAAAAAGATAAATGGAATATCACTCCCTTATGGTCTTCAAGTGTTAGCCCAGGCTCAAGCTCCCTCCATGCTCCTCCCAAGTTGCCTCCCTAACAAGCTTAAGCCTCCATCAACGTATCTCTTCCTCCAAGCTCCTTAGTGCAATTCATGGGTATGTGACGCAATGAATAGCGAAAGTGATGTTGGGTGGATAATTGAGAAGTGGCGTGACTGAAGGGATTGGGATAATGAATAGTTTATGAGTAAGAGATGGAGCGGAAGTTGAAGATGAACCCGTAGAGAGAGAGCTTTTCTTGATCAAGTCTATGGCTGAGAGAGTGAGCCTCCGCGTGAATATGGGATGAAGGAAGATATGGTGCAATCCGTGAATGGAGAAAAAAATTGATATTAGGCGTAAATTTACTATATGGAATGAGGGGAATATTTTAATGGGAGAAAAAAGAAAATTTTTGGGGATCCAAAACTCAATCCCATTAGTAATTAATTGACCCACTTGATATTAGCCATTGGATTGTGCTTAAATTTCAAGAAATAATCTTGCACCATTAGATTTCTTATATGCTCTTCCTTAACCTACAAGAATTTAAGTGCATCAATTAATGTAGATTATATCCAAATATAATAAAATATATATCAAAAATTAAATATCAGATATGTACAAAAATTAGGTAAGAAATTGTAAAACTTTCCAAAAATAATCTTTAAAAATATGAGACTTATTTCTAAGGAAATTGGAAAAATTAATTCCAAGTCAAAAATAGGAAATCACAAAATATTTATATTTTTAATCCAAAATCTCAATTTTTATGAAAAATCCAAAAATCAACCAATGAATTCAATAATACGTAAAAATCCATTTAAACTCAAAATTATCATTTAAATCTTGAATTAGTGCGGGATAAAATTTATAAAAATTGGGTTTTATCAAAAGTCATTTGAAAATGCTCTTTGCAATGTCTCAACACAGCCGAAGCCCCATACCCAAGGCAGCAGGAATATCCAATGCAGCTAGTTATTCTTACCACAAGGATAACTTTCATCCTCTAAATCCTCGTTCAGGAATGGAATAGGTTCCCACCACAAGGGATTATCAATATTATATCCCAAAATCACCCGCCGATGGAAAGGGAAGAAGATGGTTTCTGTTGGAGGCACGGTAATGATGGAAATTTCAGTGTCAAAGCAGTCTATATATAGTACGGTGGTGAAATATCGAAGACATGATCCTCTCAATGGATGAAAATATGGAAACTTTTAGTTCCCGAAAAACTGAAAATCTTCCATTGGCAAGTAATCCCTGAGAGGCTTCCAACAAACTCCCTTAGAGCTCAGAGGGGAAACACTTTTACACATCGTCCTGACTGTGAGATAGCCGGAAATGTGTGGATTAATATTGTTAAAACTAACCATCTCTTTAATGTCTTTTCCACTAACTTGCAGGTTCGGCTTCGGGGAAATTTGAATACGCCTGGAGCAAGGAAATGAAAGATTCAGTAGATGGCCATGGACAAAAGAGTTCAGTTTTGTCTGCTGGCAATTGTGAAAGAATAGATGCAAAAGTATCAAGGAGGGCAACAGATTACACGCTAATGGAGCATCCAAACTTCTATATCACTTAATGGAGACAACGTAACAGGGGAAATACACACACAGCACTTCAACCTTTCAACCAACCCAGAAAGCAGATGCCAACCTCCTGAAGACGAATACTTTCGCCTTGACAGAGACGGATCAGTGAATAGGCAGAGACAGGCGGCTTGTGGTGGTCTACTCAGAGATTCAAAGGGCCATTGGGTCCTGGGATTCCAACAGCGTCTTGGTTTCCGTCCACCAACCTCGGCAGAAATCATGGCGGTGCTGCCTGGTTTAAAAATGTGCAAACTACACTCTTTCACAATTGTTCTTGCTTACACAGATTCTTTGGAAGGTGTAAACTTGATTATGACAGATTGTAATATTTAAGCATTATTCGCTCAGTAATTACAAACGATAATCATCCCAACAATTTAATTAGATTACTCAATTTGGTCACGTCGAGGTATATATGAGCAAGGTCCTGGCGATAATTAAGTAATATTTGCTCAGTAATTGCAAACGGTAATCATCCCAACAATTTAATTAGATCACTCAATTTGGTCAAGTCGAGGTAAATATAAGTAAGGTCTTAGTGGTAGTTATCACAAATCTCTACAAGAACGGTACTACGACGTTGAAATAGTGTGCTAATAATTGCACACACATTACTGCAAACAAAAGAGAAATAGAAGTATATATCAAATCACGCACACAAGAGGTTTTTAAATGAAAGCGATGATGGATTGTGTAGTTTCAATAGCAAGAGATGCACTTAATTTTGCGGCTTCGAATCTGCTTCATTTTCCTTTTTTTGGGGCCTTCGATAGCGGATGGCACTTGTGGTGTTAGGGTTAGGGGTTGGAACCTTGGTAAAAAAAGACATCAACGTAGGACCAACAAATATTGGTAGTGAGAGAATGGTAAGGATGGCAATTGGAGAGCCAAGAATTGCGCAAGTTGTTAAAGATTTGCCAAGGAGCATGAGAGATATCCACAATGCAACAATGGAGCCGAACATGGTCAAGATAGCAATTTGAAGCATGAAAGGTGCATATCTCCACAAGATAAGAGATTGAGAACGAAAAGCAAGTATGGCCAAAACGGAGATGGTGGAACTGAGGGACAAGGAAAGGGCCGCAAGTGATGAGTAGTCCTTTCCATCGAACTTCTCTGACACAATATATTGAAAGGCCATCCCAGCGACTAGGGTCGATGCCACAGAACATGTTTGTGAGGTCTGATTCAACCACTGTCTGTCACTTGTCATATGTTCGCTGTAACTCTCTCTAAAGATTTCTTCTGCTGTTTTCCTATCATTGTTGTATTTCTCCCAAAATTCAGAAGGCACTGAACTTTTCAAAAACTGCATAACCATTTATATATGTTTATATATCCAACATTTTGAATAAATCTTTGCAATAAAGTGATTATATATATTAATTTTAGATTAGACCTTATGACCAAGCCAAAGAAATTTTAATAGCAAGTATATAGATACGCACCTCAAACCACTTGTATTCCTCTACCATGGTACTCTTCTGGTTCTAAATATATATGACCCATTTTGTAATGTAATTTACATTACAAAATGAGGAGTAGTTGGCTGCCAATTTAGGTTGACCCCAAGCTTGGCTGCCAAGTGCAATGCGATCTTCCCATCTTTATCCACTTAACTAAATGCACTTTTGTTAATCTTTTCATTTCCGCACAAAATCTGATACACCTTGGTCTGCCTCTTTTCTGCTGCTAATAGAACTGTGTTCTTAAATTTCCTTCTTCATCCACAACTTTTATTGCAGATGGAAATGATTTTAGGATCTTCTCCACCACCTCTATAACACCATTTGATCCTCAATGTCGCTTTGGGTCAAATTAAATTAAATTTAGAATGCAACAAGTGATGCAAAACCAAAGTTGTTCTCTTATTGGAGTCAAAAATTAACTAGGTCCTAAATTAACTAAAAATCAAAATTGCGATTAAAAAGGTTTTTTTATTTTTTTATTTAAAAAATACTTTCAAAATAAATTAAAAATAATTCTAATTTTTTTTGGATTTTATTTTATGAAAAAAATGAAAAGATAATTTGAAATTGAAATTGAAAGAAAATTAATAAAAAACGTAGCAAATGAAAAAATTTGGATTTTAAGGAGATATGAGATAATGCTTATTGGAAAATGAAAATTGGGTTATCCTTGCTCAAAACGATATGAAAGTTATTTTGTTCATCAAAACCTTAATAACTAATTAAGTCAAATAATCCTAATTAATAGATGTCCTAAAACTCTAGCTACAACCACCAATTAAAATTACCATTGAAAACCCATTAGTGTGCCATTAGGATTAGATTAATGCAATTCGGGTCTCTATGCAAGGAACACTCAACTTGAGATATTTAATAAGTACCATGTAATTATAAAATTCATTCAAACTATAAAAGAATAACATAACCATATAGAACTTCAAACAGGATATAATTATATAAATCTCAAACTGCAAAATCCAATCTCAATCACAAAAATTCAATTCTAAACTAAGAATTACAACCGGCAACCTCAGAAAATTTAATTAAATAATATCAATTCTAACTTAGCAAATCTATTACTCAATTAAATTAAAAGAATTGAAACAAAAAAACTCCCCGCTCAAACCCAATCATCCATCTCCAAGAAGCTCGGTGAAATTAGCTGCACATGGTTGGAGATTCTGCCAACATTAGTTCAATGTGCAATTTGGCCATGGAAGAAGAATAATTCGGAGCTGTGGGGTCTGGCCGAAAATAATGACAGAAGCAGAAGAGGGCTTGCCGGCGGCGATGGCTGTGGAATCACGACTCTGATGGCACGACAGAGAAATCGCGGGCGGTGGATGAGAAGAATGAGTTGAAGGTCGCTACCTCTCCGTCTGTCTCTACCGAGCTCTGTTTCCAGCTCCCAGTTCTCCCGGTATGTGCGTGCTGTCCTGAAGGTGGTGATGATCGAAAACGGTGATTTTGGGGGTGGTGAGGTGCCGCGTTAATGGTTGAAGGGGGCTTGGTGGTAGTGAAATAGGATGATGATGATTGTGGTGAATGGTGAATGGAGGTAGCGTGTGTGTCCTCTTGCGTGTCGTGTTGTATATGTATAGGATGCTGATGAAGAAAATTAAACCCGCCGTTCTGCTCCCACAATGCGCGCGATCTCTGGATGATGATGATTATTCAAACAATCCCTAGCCCTAAGCTAAAACGCAGTGTTCCATTTTTTTTTTCTTTTTGTTGTTTTTAATATTCCTTCCAAATACAATCTAAGATATTGTGATATCATATTTTTTTAAAAAAAATCATTACACTAAATCATAAAAATATGATTTTTTGGGGCCCTTTTTAGCAATATTTTCATCCAATCACAATTAATCCCAATTAATCATAATCAATGAAATTATGCCCAATTTAATTGATAAAAATCCCAAATAAGATAAGAAAAATTAATATAAAATCAGGATTTATCAAATTTCCCCACACTTGAACTTTTGTACTCCTGGACAAAGCAACGAAATACAAGCAATCACTAAAGACAAGTTAGAATGAAACAAGCTCAAAGTATGAATGTGGAAATTTAATTAACTTCATCCTTTAAATTCACATAAGTCACCCAAGAATTAGTAGAAAGAGATTAGACAAGATGCGCAATTAATCTAATGGTAATAAAGCAACAGGAAGCACTCAAGGAGATTAAGTGTTTCTGTCATCTTTCACAAGTGGGTTATCTCACTCCAATCCTCTTAAGCTAAGCCCTACTATATGTATGCTTGTAAAAAGTCTAAATTCCAAATCATTAACAGTGCAAAAGTTCATGAATCAGGGGGTCTTTAAGAGGGTTGTAGTGTTGGAGAATATGGTAAAATGGGATGAATGAAGAACATAGCAAGAGACATGTATGCATCATGACCTTAATAACTCTTAGCTAATAGCATCTTTCTCAATGACTTTGAAGCACATGCATCAGACTCAATATTTACAAAGTTCTAAGGAGAATGCCTTTTTTTTTTTTCATTTTTTCATTTTTTTCTTTTTCTTGATTTTCTTCTTCTTCTTCTTCTTTTCTCTCTCTCTCTCTTTTTTATTTGCTTTTTTTTTTTAATATTCAAACTAAACAACTTGAATTGACTAAGCAAATAAACAATGGCAAAAATAATGATGCATATAAGATATTAAAAGGATAAGATGCTATGATGAACTTTAATGTAATAACATACAAATCAACTTGCTATGATTAATGATTTTTTGCAAAGTGAATGGCTCAAAGGGGTATGCAATGGATAATTGAAAAAGGCTTGTGTTTGGGAAAATGGGTGTTGAAATGAATGTCCCTATCATATTCATTTACCAAAGCACCATTAAGATTAGACAAAGACTTTCTACAAGTTCTAGAGGGTGATTAACTTAGGTGATCAACACTCTAGATGAAAACAAAGATTAGGCTCAATATCTTTCCAACAGGGGTTATCTTCCAATTGAACACTCATATTAGATAATTGTACACAAGCTAATCAGAAAGCACTAACTCAAGAACTTCTTATGCTCATTCTATAAATGAAACTCAATTAAAGCACCGCATTTAACTATGAGCAAGCAGAATTCTTCAAACCATTAGTAAAATTGCAAGGATTTAAATTTTCAAGAGTTGCAAAAGCTCGAGCAAAGTATTCTGAAAGGTTGCAAGACATATAGAGCAATAGCAAGATTCAAGCTCAATATGTTAAAAGTGACAGCAATACAACCTAATTTATCACAGCTAGAAAGCATGTAGCAAACAGTTAAGCACAAAATCCATTCAAAAGGGCATATAAACCATGCAAAGAGGCAAAATTGAACCATCCAAATAACATAAAGATGGTTAACATGACAGCAATAATGCCTCACACCAATAGCAAGATGCAGAGAAGAACAGTGATTGCATCAAGAACGGTCCAGAAAATTTTTTGAAGACCTCAATTTTTCATTTAAGCTCAGTTTCAAAGCCACATTCACCAAAACATTATCCTTCCCCCCACACTTAATCAATACATTGTCCTCAATGTATAAAACTCACATTGTATTTAACTTAACTCTCAAGGAAAGTGGAAAGTTATGAAGTCCGATTCAAGATTGTAGCACAACACCTCACTTTAAGAAGGGAGAGAAGTGTGAGAGATAAGTCAAAACAATATGGCAAGAAAGATCAAATAAATAATAATGATTAAGTGTTTAGAAGATTAAGTAAGAACTCAGAGGATTTATTGAATTGAAAAATAAATAGGATTTATTGAATTGAAAAAAATGAACTAACTAAAAGCCATGCTACCTTTCCTACTGAAGAAGTTTCTCCCCCACATTTATTCCACAAACTAAAGCCCCAAAACATATCACGAGCAATCACAAGGCAAAAGCAAGTAAATAAGTGAAGGAAAGAAACAACCTTAAAGTCATGGAGATTGATGATTCTCATGGTAAAGCTTCAAAAGGTAGCCATTGACTTTAAGTTTTGCTCCAGTTTCCTCATTAAGAAGCTCCACCATTCCAAAACTATGCACCTTTGTGACTGTAAGGCCCATCCCAACGGGTGTTGAACTTCCCTTGCCTAAATGTGAATTTGGCCTTAAACATCAGTACCTTGTCTCCCACCTTGAAATTCTTTTGTAGGAGACTCTTATCATGCACAAATTTTGTCTTCTCCTTGTAAAGTCGAGAGTTCTCACAAGCCTCCAATCTCAGCTCCTCTAATTCTTACAGTTGCAGCTTTCTCTCCATCCCAGAAGATTCCAAGTCCATATTACACTATTTGACTGCCCAATACGCTTTAAGTTCCAATTCCACTTGTAGGTGGCATGCTTTGCCAAAGACTAAGCAGTAAGGAGACATTCCAATTGGTGACTTATAGGCAGTTCTATATGCCCATAGTGCTTCCTCTAATCTTAGGCTCCAATCTTTCTTGGATGGTTTGACTATCTTCTCCAATATCTGTTTCACTTCTCAATTGGACAGTTCAGCTTGACCATTAGTTTGGGGTGATATGCAGTGGAGACTTTGTGAGTGATACCAAATTTAGAAAATAGGTTATCTACTGCCTTATTACAAAAATGTGTACCTTTATCACTCAATCCCAAACCTACAGAAAATGTTAGACTTAAGAAACTTAGAAACTGCCTAGGCATCATCTTCTCTAGTCGGTACAGCCTCTATCCATTTGGAAACGTAATCAACAGCTAGAAGAATATATATAAAACCAAAGGACGAAGGAAATAGACCCATGAAGTCAATTCCCCAAACATCAAAAATTTTACAAAACAGTAAAGGTTGTTGAGGCATTTTGTGTCTTTTACCTAACCCTCCAAAACGTTGATATTTGTCACAGGACTGATAAAAGTCATAACAGTCCTTAAAAAGGGTTGGCTAATAAAAACCAGAATCTAAAATCTTCCTAGATGTTCTTCTTGCACTGAAATGACCACTACAAATCATAGTATGGCAAGATGCAATGATAGACTCAAACTCTTCACTAGGCACGCACTTTTT